CCCCATCATCCTGTGTGACTCTCCAGTCACCACTGTGGACTCCTTGTGCTTCCTGGGCACCATCATCTCCCAGGACCTCAAGTAGGAGCTGAACATCACCTCCCTCACCAAGAAGGCCCAGCAGAGGATGAACTTCCTGCGGCAGCTGAAGAAGTTCAGCCTGCCAAAGACAATGATGGTGCACTTCTACACCGCCATCATTGAGTCCATCCTCACCTCCTCCATCACCATCTGGTTCGCTGCTGCCACTGCCAGGGACAAGGGCAGGCTGCAGCGCATCATTCGCTCTGCAGAGAAGGTGATTGGCTGCAATCTTCCTTCTCTTCTGGCCTCCAGGACTCTGAGGCGAGCAGGAAATATTGCAGCTGACTCCTCCCACCCCGGACATAAACTGTTTCAGACTCTCCCCTCTGGCAGGAGGCCAAAACCTCTCGCCACAAAAACAGCCTCTACCCGTCTGCAGCCTCATTAACAAGGCCCGGGTCCCCCACTGACAATCCCCCCCTGCAAACGATACAAATGGCACGTTGCACGTATTTGTTGTTGATTGTTGATCTTTGTTGTTGTATATTTTTATGTTGTCAGTTTATATATTTATATGTACACGATATTCTCTTCCGTTGCGTTACTTCTACACGGCACAGACCCAGAATAATGCACATGTACAGTGGGTACGGAAAGTATTCAGACCTCTTTAAATTTTTCACTCTTTGTTTCATTGCAGCCATTTTCCAAAAATCAAAAAAGTTCATTTTATTTCTCAGTAATGTACACTCAGCACCCCATCTTGACAGAAAAAAACAGAAATGTAGAAATTCTTGCAAATTTATTAAAAAAGAAAAACTGAAATATCACATGGTCATAAGTATTCAGACCCTTTGCCGTGACACTCATATTTAACTCAGGTGCTGTCTATTTCTTCTGATCATCCTTGAGATGGTTCTACACCTTCATTTGAGTCCAGCTGTGTTTGATTATACTGATTGGACTTGATTAGGAAAGCCACACACCTGTCTATATAAGACCTTACAGCTCACAGTGCATGTCAGAGCAAATGAGAATCATGAGGTCAAAGGAACTGCCTGAAGAGCTCAGAGACAGAATTGTGGCAAGGCACAGATCTGGCCAAGGTTACAAAAAAATTTCTGCTGCACTTAAGCTTCCTAAGAGCACAGTGGCCTCCATAATCCTCAAATGGAAGACGTTTGGGACGACCAGAACCCTTCCTAGAGCTGGCCGTCCGGCCAAACTGAGCTATCGGGGGAGAAGAGCCTTGGTGAGAGAGGTAAAGAAGAAGCCAAAGGTCACTGTGGCTGAGCTCCAGAGATGCAGTCGGGAGATGGGAGAAAGTTGTAGTAAGTCAACCATCACTGCAGCAATCCACCAGTCGGGGCTTTATGGCAGAGTGGCCCGACGGAAGCCTCTCCTCAGTGCAAGACACATGAAAGCCCGCATGGAGTTTGCTAAAAAACACCTGAAGGACTCCAAGATGGTGATAAATAAGATCCTCTGGTCTGATGAGACCAAGATAGAACTTTTTGGCCTTAATTCTAAGCGGTATGTGTGGAGAAAACCAGGCACTGCTCATCACCTGTCCAATACAGTCTCAACAGTGAAGCATGGTGGTGGCAGCATCATGCTGTGGGGGTGTTTTTCAGCTGCAGGGACAGGACGACTGGTTGCAATCGAGGGAAAGATGAATGCGGCCAAGTACAGGGATATCCTGGACGAAAACCTTTTCCAGAGTGCTCTGGACCTCAGACTGGGCCGAAGGTTTACCTTCCAACAAGACAATGACCCTAAGCGCACCGCTAAAATAACGAAGGAGTGGCTTCACAACAACTCCGTGGCTGTTCTTGAATGGCCCAGCCAGAGCCCTGACTTAAACCCAATTGAGCATCTCTGGAGAGACCTGAAAATGGCTGTCCACCAACGTTTACCATCCAACCTGACAGAACTGGAGAGGATCTGCAAGGAGGAATGGTAGAGGATACCCAAATCCAGATGTGAAAAACTTGTTGCATCTTTCCCAAAACGACTCATGGCTGTATTAGATCAAAAGGGTGCTTCTACTAAATACTGAGCAAAGGGTCTGAATACTTATGACCATGTGATATTTCAGTTTTTCTTTTTTAATAAATTTGCAAGAATTTCTACATTTCTGTTTTTTTCTGTCAAGATGGGGTGCTGAATGTACATTACTGAGAAATAAAATGAACTTTTTTGATTTTTGGAAAATGGCTGCAATGAAACAAAGAGTGAAAAATTTAAAGAGGTCTGAATACTTTCCGTACCCACTGTATATATCTGCAACGTTGTTCTTCAGTTCCATATTTATATATTTCCACATTTATTTATGTTGACTGTATTTTGTCTGCATGTAGCACCTTATCACCACAGCAAATTCCTTGTATGTGTAAAACACTACTTGGCAATAAAGCTCCTTCTGATTCTGATTCTGATTCTGAGATACCTGCAACACCCCAAACTCCCTGAACTGACTCTGAAATAACCTGAAATGACCCGAATGACTGTAAACAACAAGGAAAAATCTGATGCAGTGTATTTCTGCATTAATACACGCTGATTTATTTGCATTCCTTTTTCTTGTCTGACTTGTTCTAAATATATAAATATTAGATTTTAAAATGATGAGGTGTTCAGGTTAAACAGCCAGAAGGGAAAGTCAGAGTGTCAGAGTGAAAGCAGCAGAACTGAGAAACAAAATGAGAAACAAGAAATTATTTTGCTTTTGTAAATAAATAAAGTTTATTCCCAGATTACATTATAATATAATACATTGAGATTAATGCATTCATCGTTCGGTTACATTTACCTCCAAAAACTTTCTGTGCACATTTCACTCCAGCAGTAACATCACCAACATACTCATTCACACTGTTTATCTCCTTCACTTTCACACTGCAGTCGCTTCACTTTCTTTGATCCATCTGAAATTCCTCTGTCACTTTTTCAACTTCCTCTGTCCATCTGACGCCGGCTACATCTTTATATAACTAATCTGTTAGTTAGCTGCCTTATTACAGCAATTATACAGGTGTGTTCAATATGAACATGTTTCATGATACTTTAAAGATAATAATACTAATAATAATTATGTCGCCTTAATACAACATAGCTGCACGTGAACATCACTCAAACAGCATTTAACTAATGCCCAAGATAACACTGCAAAAATTCCTTTTCCTTTTTCACAGCTGCTGTTGCAGAATCCTAAAATCCACTTTTCAGGTGTGGATTTCTTGATTGTGCCTAAGTGATCAGTCTGTCTGGTTAAAACAATCTCCACTAATATGTTTTAAACAAAAGAAGGATTTTAAGACAAAAAGACTTTCTTCCTCATACATCCAGTGCTCCTGTTGGAGTTAATAAATAAATACATGATTAAATTAATAGTAGTAGAATATAGAGTGTAAAAGTGTCCAACACTTTGTACTTCAGTCTTTTAACATAAAAGACAATCTGAGGTAAGGATTTCTGAACAGCACAGCAGCTGTTGATCCACAGAAATCTGTTCACTCTGAACTTTCGACCAGTTCAGAAAGCTTCTGGACCCACTCAGGTTTCTATAATTTCAGAAATCTCCAGGTGAATTTAAAACCCTGTAGGTCCGTTTATAATCCTTCAGATTAGTTCATTAAATTCTTTTCATCAGTTCAGAAACCAAATCTTTGGATGAGTTCTTTTCCATCATCTTGCTTGAGTCAGAAACTCTCTACAGTTCAGTCTTGCTGTGTGCACAGCGTCCCGGCCAGCCGGTCCCAGTGGGTGAAGTAGGGGGCGAAGTTGTACTTGGACTTCAGGTGGTGGAGGTCATGGTGGCGGGCCCCGCCATACAGCCCCAGAGGCACCAGACGGTGGGTGGCCCAGGGCAGGTCGTAACCACAGTGGTCCTCCACCGACAGCCAGATGTTCACCACGAAGAAGGCCAGCTCGGTGAGCGGGTGGCAGCCCAGCAGGAGGGGGTTGGCGGCGGCGAAGAAGCCCAGGCTGAGAGTCTCCCAGGCTCCGGTGTACTCTGCGGTGAGGGCGGAGGTGGAGGTGTAGGTATGGTGCACCTGGAGGAGGAGAAGACGAAGAAGAAGAAACGTTAGGATGGTGTTATAATAATAATAATAACAGCTTTATTTATATGGAACTTAATAACACATAATCATTATAATATGCTACCAAAGTGCTTCACAACAATAAATATAAAACTTAAACAAGCTGAATAAAAATTCTCGTCTTCTATGAAGCGCATGTTGATGGTGTAGAAAACATTTGGTACCAACCTTGTGGAAGTTGCGGTAGAGCCAGGGCACTTTGTGGTGCAGCAGGTGCCAGATGAAGCACTGGAAGTCAAAGAGCAGCAGGCAGACCAGGACCTGGGCCAGCAGGCGAGGCAGGGACGGGGCCTCCTGGGGCAGGAGGACGGGCCTCAGGTACCAGTGCATCACGGTCAGAGGGAAGATGAAGACCAGGTGGTTGTAGAGCGTCAGAGCCAGGCAGTTCCGCACTGAGGCCCAGCTGATGGAGCTCTGAGGCTGCAGCTTGTACCTGCGCACCAGGGCCCACCTGGAGGACAGCATGTCCAGCAGCAGGAAGGGCAGGCAGAAGGACAGGTAGACGGACAAGGAGAAGACAACGGGGAAGAAAGGTGAGTGCAGGACTGACGAGTGTCCTGTGAGGAAGGTCCAGAGAGGCTGCAGCATCTTCGTATCTTCGTCTGAGTCTGAGATCTACAGCACCGTTTCACTCTTAGACTGGTCTCACACATCACAGCTGCTTTATATAAGCTCAGCTCAGCCTCCTGGTGTGCCTCCTCCCATCATGCCCTAATAAGGACTCTTCCAGCTCAAGCATCATGGAGAAATGGAAAGTCCGCAGCAAGTTCAGACACAGCCTGCCTGCAATCAGAGAGGCAGGACTGAGGAAACGTAACATCCGTCTGTCCAACCTGCTGCTCCTGTAGGAATAAACTCCCTTTCTCGCTGTGTAAACATCTGTAATGGCTGCCGTGGAGCTGCTGGACACATTCAGAGACTGATGACATGACATGAAGCTTTGTAACAGAGTTACTCACCTGGGGGTCTTTTGGGGTCTTGCTTCTGTATTGGAGGGTCAGGGGCCTTTTACATGTTTGTCTCTTAATCTGTCCCGGGCTGTAGGATGTTTGGATTTACAAATATATATTAAAATTAGAATATTTTTTTATTAAGTTGTTGCAGAGAATCTGAGCTTTAAAGTGTTTGTTGTGTTTAATTTATCAGAAGCATCAAACCTTTTCTGTCGACTGTCGAGCTCGAGCAAACTGACAAAGCTTTTATTCCAGCCCGTCTGGATTAGTGTTACTCTCTGTGCTCAGTCAAAAAGACACTTATCTTTTTAGAAAACACATTACCCTGATTTTGGTCTCCTCTCAGCAGCTTCCAGAATTCACTTCCAAACCGTTAACCAGAGTAACTCCAAGCTGAGTCCAAGTCTTTGTTTGAATCAGGTTTGTTTCTCGGACCAGAGTTGTTTATTTGGCGTTACTGTGATTCAGTGACTTAACAATATAATTAAACACGTGCAGTTTATTATTACACAGAATCAGCTTCAGCACATTTTATTCTTTTGTAAATGTGTCTCATGTTTTGATCCCTGCAGCTGAAGATGTTTTGAAGCTGGTCATAAAGTGAAGACACTCTTCTTCTGTGGTGAAGTGCTGCCACCTAGTGTACGTTACAGGCCCTACAGGCTGACCTCAACTAAAGTGATACATTTATATTGTGTATAATATATTTATTTATTGTTGTATCTCATTTATGTCATTTTATTACTGTCTTTTTTGTTCTTTGGTAAAGTTCTCTCGATACATTTGATGATATAAAAACGTTTTGACATCCAGATACAAAAGAAGTCTGTTTCACTTCCTGAAACAGTTTCTACCCGACAGCATGTCCATCTGAGACTCTGTGTCATTATTTACTCATAAACAACCTTAAATATTTTATTTTTCCTTTATTTTTCAAGTTATAAATAAACCTCTGTAGTGTGACCTAACTCTCTGCTTAACATGATTTCAGAAGGGACAGTGAAGGCATCATCATCTGTTTCAGTTTCGTTTCTCTGAGTTTCTGATCAGTCTCTGAAGTGACAGCAGCCAGATCAATAACACAGTAACTCCTCTTCATCTTCATCTGGATCTTCTTCCTCTCAGAGGAGGGTTTGTGATTTCACTATGAGGTACTTTTGATTCAGACCAGAATCAGAATCAGGTCTGTGTTCACATACGAGGAATCAGACTCCGGTCTTTCACACAGAAGAACAAGCATAAAGACCTTGAATCTGCTTCTTAGTGAGAGACCAGAGTTATTAACACTCTCTCTCTCTGTGTTTCTAGCAGCTCTCTTCACTCCAGACTGCAGCAGCTGCAGAGTCGCTTCACCTGGGATCTGAAGGAGGAGGACATGGACCTGGAAAACCTCAGCATTCGACTACAGGAACATATAGACCTTCAGCTGGGACAGCGGGGTGCAGTGGCTTTGTCCTACAGCTTCTTGGCTTATGTCAGGTACAGTAAGGCGTCTCACAGTGAAAGAGGATGCATTTGTTGGTACAGTTTATCATTTAAAGCAGGTGTGTACAGATTAATGTGCGCAAAACGTCAGAAGCACAAGTTGTCTGTAGTTGACTGATAGCCATTGATTAGTTTATTGCCTGTAAGACATGACCCAGGGAGGCAATGCCCAATAATTGTGTTTCTGTATGCCTGAAAACCAGACATAAGGCCCATTCAGTATTAACATTACAGGAGGAGGTGGGGGTACTGCAGGAGGTGAATCTGAGTCAGAATCCTGTCTAAAAATGATACAGAAAAACTAGTCCATGCATTTGTTACTTCTAGGCTGGATTACTGCAATTCCTTATTATCAGGCTGCTCGAAAAAGTCCATTAAGACTCTTCAGCTGATCCAGAATGCTGCAGCACGTGTTCTGACAGGAACCAGGAAAAGAGATCACATTTCTCCTGTCTTAGCTTCTTTGCATTGGCTTCCAGTAAAATCCAGAATAGAATTTAAAATCATTCTTCTTACCTACAAAGCTCTTAATGGTCAGGCACCATCTTATCTTAAAGAGCTCATAGTACCTTACTACCCCACCAGAGCACTGCGCTCCCAGAATGCAGGGTTACTTGTGGTTCCTAGAGTCTCCAAAAGTAGACTAGGAGCCAGAGCGTTCAGCTATCAAGCTCCTCTCCTGTGGAACCAGGTTCCAGTTTGGGTTCAGGAGGCAGACACCATCTCCACATTTAAGAGTAGGCTTAAGACTTTCCTCTTTGATAAAGCTTATAGTTAGGGCTGGCTCAGGTGAGTCCTGAACCATCCCTTAGTTATGCTGCTATAGGCCTAGACTGCCAGGGGATTTCCCATGATGCACTGAGCTCCTCTCTCCTCTACTTTCTCTCCCTCTGTATGCAACCTCATCCCATTATTGCATGTTACTAACACAACTTCTCCCCTTTCTGGTAGTCTTGTGCTTTCTCGTCTCTCTCCTCTCTCCTCCTGTCACTTCCTGCAGGTGTTTCTGGCTCTGGAGCTGTGGAGTCTGGATCTGTGGTTGCGGGTCACCTGCTGCCCCCGTGTTCCTGCTCGACACCCTCTGCTGCAACGACTATTGTTGCTAGTCTTATTGTTATTATTGTTATTATAATCATTAACATTATGATGGTTAACATTAACACTATTATAAATATCTGTACCATTTTTCATTTAGTTTATAGCAACATTACCTTCGCTGTCTGTACCTCTGTGTGTATATTGTGTAGGCTGCCTCCCCTCTCTCTCTCTCTCTCCTTACATCCCTCTCTCTCTCTCTCTTTCTCTCTCTCTCTCTTTCACTCTCTTTCTCTCTCTCTCTCTCTTTCACTCTCTTTCTCTCTCTCTTTCTCTCTCTCTCTCTCTCACCCCAACCGGTCGAGGCAGATGGTCGCCCACCCTGAGCCATGGTTCTGCTCGAGGTTTCTGCCTCTTAAAAGGAAGTTTTTCCTTGCCTCTGTCTCCTAGTGCTGCTCTTGGTGGGAACTGTTGGGCTTCTGTAAATAACATCACAGAGTTCGGTCTAGACCTGCTCTTTATGAAAAGCGCTGTGAGATAACTGTTGTTGTGATTTGGCGCTATATAAATAAAATTGAATTGAATTGAATTGAAACCTCTCTCCTCCAGTGTGACTTCCTCTTCCTGAGGACATCATGATCTCTGATGTCCAACCCGAATAAATGTCCAGAGCTCAGAAGATGAACTTACCTGAGAATCTTCATGTTTTCAAATTTTCTTCGGTACCACAGTTTTGGCCCAGTCAGACCAGTATGACATCCTCGCTGGTCTGACCCAACCCGCTGTGACTGTGGCAGCTCCCTAGAGGGTGCAAATACGCTGCTCTTCGAGCTACAGTACATTGCCCTCTCTTCTTTTGGAGTCTGATAAACCTTCAAACTCATTGATCTGTCACTCAAACTGGACTTTATGGATTGTATTTCATTGTCTCTCCTTTCCTGAAACACTGAGCCCTCAGTGACTAACAGAGCTGCTTTCAGTCTGAAAATCTGCAGCTTGATCAAAGTTTAAAAACAGTAAAATATACAAACCAAGTTTCTTCAACATTTCACAACAGCCTGTCTCTCCTCAGGTATCTTCAGGGTCGACGACAGGAGGCGATGTCACTTCTCAACCAATCAGAGGAGAAGACCAGGGAGTGTTACGGTGAGGAGAGTGAGCGGCGGCTCATCGTGACGTACGGAGACCAGGCCTGGCTGAAATACCACACAGGAGACTACAAACAGTCACATAGTTACTGCCAGAGGGTGGACGACATCCTGGTATGGATACTCACTGCTTTAGGACAGACTGAAAATGGTTTAATGCTCTGTGAGGAACTTTTATCAGCAAACTCACACATGATCAGAGTCACTAATCAAGTTACACATTTTCCTCAACCAAGTTCTTTCTCCGCCCACCGCTCCTCCTCTTTACAGGTGAAGTATCCTGCTGGTTCTACCACAGTTCTCCACCCAGAGGTATATGGAGAAAAAGCTTGGACCTACCTTAAGTGTTTGAAAGCTTACTACCCCAAAGCCATTGACTGTTTCCACAAAGCGTTAGAGCTGCAGCCTGATGACAGCGAGTGGAACGCTGGCTGCGCTATTGCCCTCTACCGCACAGAACCGGTATGTTTCTTAATAAACAGTGGTTGCACCAAACTGGCACAATGAGTAAAGGGACCCATCAGTGATTTGATTATTCAAATAGATCATTAAATGTCAGCTTGTTTCTAATAAGCTCCAATGAAGCTGATGGCAGATTTGTAGCCCAGGGATTTAAAACAGATTCTCATTTGCAGAGTGATTTAGAAACATCCCAGGAAGATGAGGAGTCACCGGCCATCAAACAGCTTCGGCGAGCCCTGGAGATCAACCCTGATGATGGTGTTCTGCTGTCGATGCTGGCTCTGAAGCTGACCGCCCACAAGAAGCACCAAGAGGCTGAAGCCCTGGTAGAGAGAGCGCTGGAGAAGGATCCTGACAACCCTCATGCAATTCGCTACATAGCCAAATATCTTCGCATTCAGGTAGGTCTGAATTACTCTCAGTTGAGCTAAAGAAAAATAATCTCTTCCGAGTCCAGAAGCATCCTGATCAGATGCTGAACCACTTCATTTACCTTGAGATCCTGTTTTAACAATCACAAACAGACCTGCTGACAACCAGCACCCCAAAGGATACAAATAGGGAAAGTCAATAAGCCTTCTTCAATTCCCCACACACATTTAGACCGGACGGATCGCTCCCCCACCCAAGCATAAGCTTTTCTGGGGAGGCTGAGGTGCAACCTATAACTTGGCAAAGCAGCTCTATCCAGTTTGATTGATCTGATGGATGGGTGGATAAAGTAAGCTTCTTCTTTTGTTTGTGAACTTAAACTTAACTGAACCTATGCTTTCATGTTCCAGGGGGACGATCAGCGGTCCATTGATCTGCTGAGACGAGCGCTGGAAAGGACCAACCAGTCGGCTTTCATCCACCACCAGCTGGCTATGTGCTACAAGAAAAAGCAGCAAGCAAGCAAGAACAGCAAGCCCTTCAACAAACAAAGTATACAAACAAATACGAAGGTCTAAAGGTCTTTTGATGTCCCATAATGCACAAATCTAAACTAAACTGTGTTCTGCCGCATTACAATAGAGTTGAAGCAGTGGAAGCATCTGCGTATTCAACACCTGGAAGAAGCTGTTAACATAAAGCCTTCATTTGTTGTCGCAATTGCTGATCTGGCACTGCTGCACGGAGAGGAAAAGAATTTCAGCAGGTACTTTATTTACGCTGCTACAGTGATGTTCTGTCTTTCTGTCCTTGGCCTTTATGTTCTGCGTCTGTTTTAGTTTGTATGAATGTATCATCATCATCTCTTTGTCTCTCAGGGCTGAGGAGCTGTTCCAACAGGGATTGCGGAATTCTTCATCAGCAGACAAAATAGTTTTTCATCTGAACTATGCTGACTTTCATCTGTATCACACCAAACAGGAGGATAAAGCCATCCCTCACTACACTGAGGTGAGCCTGCATCTGCATGTGTGTGAATACACAAACTGATTGACATTATACTGAATGAGTTCACCAACACAGATTTAACTTATCAGAAATACAAAACAAAATTAGTGATACTATAAAAGAGGTGTTGGCTTCTCATCCCCAAACTTCAGACCTCTATTAAAATGAATGAATTATCTGGATGTTTCTTTTGTGGCTGCACACCTCCACAGTTTGTCCGGTTAGAACAATTAAAATGATGTAGGTAATCTTTCCAATCCACTCTCACACTCTTTGTCCTTGCAACTTGTTTATTGTAGAATGAAATCTAGTATGAGCATATCATTGTTTGTGTGTGTGTGTGTGTGTGTGTGTGTGTGTGTGTGTGTGTGTGTGTGTGTGTGTGTGTGTGTGTGTGTAACTGTAAAGAGAATAAACAAACTATGTAAACAAATATGACATTTTAGACATCTGAAAATGTAATGAATAAAAGCAATATAATAATATATAATATAAGGACGAAATGAACAAAGATGAATAACTTCTGAGGAGAAAGCGTGAACTATATAAGGGAGCTTCAATATTTTACACACTTGGACTGAAAAGGCTCCGTTGTATAGGCTTACTAATGACACACAGACAAGGTGATTTTGTGACGGTCCCTTACTGACCTGTCAGCGCTCACAGTACTAATTAATGAGAGGGAAAGTCCGACATAAGCTATATATATTGATTATAAACATGAAAACAAACACAGCAATATATATGATATATGCTACGAAGTGAGGAAGGTGATAAACACAGAAACATCACACGTGATAAACTGAACAAACTAAATACTGTACTCACTTCTCAAGGACGCACACGGAATATGAAAAGGAAAAAAACACAGTCCAGAATATTCAATTCAATTCAATTTTATTTATATAGCGCCAAATCACAACAACAGTTATCTCACAGCGCTTTTCATAAAGAGCAGGTCTAGACCGTACTCTGTGATGATATTTACAGAAGCCCAACAATTCCCACCAAGAGCAGCACTAGGAGACAGAGGCAAGGAAAAACTTCCTTTAAGAGGCAGAAACCTCGAGCAGAACCATGACTCAGGGTGGGCGGCCATCTGCCTCCACCGGTTGGGGTGAAGAGAGAGAGAGAGAGAGAGAGAGAGAGAGAGAGAGAGAGAGAGAGAGAGAGAGAGAGAGAGAGGGGAGGGAGGCAGCCTACACAATATCCACACAGAGGTACAGACAGTAAAGGGGATGTTGCTATAGACTAAATGAAAAATGGTACAGATATTTATAGTAGTGTTAATGATAACAATCGTAATGTTAATGATTATAATAACAATAATAACAATAGGACTAGTAACAATAGTCGTTGCAGCAGAGGGTGTCGAGCAGGAACACGGGGGCAGCAGGTGACCCGCAGCCACAGATCCAGACTCCACAGCTCCAGAGCCAGAAACACCTGCAGGAAGTGATAGGAGGAGAGAGGAGAGGGACGAGAAAGCACAAGACTACCAGAAAGGGGAGAAGTTGTGTTAGTAACATGCAATAATGGGATGAGGTTGCATACAGAGGGAGAGAAAGTAGAGGAGAGAGGAGCTCAGTGCATCATGGGAAATCCCCCGGCAGTCTAGGCCTATAGCAGCATAACTAAGGGATGGTTCAGGACTCACCTGAGCCAGCCCTAACTATAAGCTTTATCAAAGAGGAAAGTCTTAAGCCTACTCTTAAATGTGGAGATGGTGTCTGCCTCCTGAACCCAAACTGGAACCTGGTTCCACAGGAGAGGAGCTTGATAGCTGAACGCTCTGGCTCCTAGTCTACTTTTGGAGACTCTAGGAACCACAAGTAACCCTGCATTCTGGGAGCGCAGTGCTCTGGTGGGGTAGTAAGGTACTATGAGCTCTTTAAGATAAGATGGTGCCTGACCATTAAGAGCTTTGTAGGTAAGAAGAATGATTTTAAATTCTATTCTGGATTTTACTGGAAGCCAATGCAAAGAAGCTAAAACAGGAGAAAATATGAATGCAGTATTAATCCAGAAGTCCAGCAAAACAGCCTGCGCATGCATGTTAGGTGGTGCAGGCTAGGGGCCGAGTGGGTGACCTTTTGAACAGATGCAATTTTATTAAAAAATGTAACTTTGGAAAAACAGACTTTACAAAAGATTAATGTCACAACGTTATGCCAGATTTATGCCTTTACCATACTGATCTGCTCTCTGTTTTATTCACTCAACAGGGTCTGCATTTAACACCGAATATGTGGGAGTTGAAAAAGTGTGTTAAGGTGAGCATCGCGTCATATAGGACTGCTGATGCAGTTGGTCATAACAAAACTTATGAAAAATGGTGAATGTGTGGTGACTGGATAGTTCAAATCGATGTGGAGGGTCTGCTCAGGACTCTGGGTTTACCTTTCAGTAACAAGGACGACAATCAACTGATACGATTAAATAATTTATTGATGAACAAAACAGAAAGATGTACGAGGCTTGCAGTTGCTGAATAGACATTCGAAGGTGTTGTGGGGAAGCTACAAAGAGACTCTTCCGTAGCACCCGGGTACGATGGACAGCTGTGAAGGTGGACCAGCAATTTCGCCAAAGTAAAGGAAAAATATAACATGTAGATTGTTTAATCTTTTCTAGTAATGTTGTTAACAAGGTTTTGCAAAGCAAGTAACACCTGGCTCATCTGTCAAAATAAATGCAGACGTTTCCTGTTATCAAACTTCGTATTATTTATTGCACTGAATCGAGAATGTCTAAACAAGATGACCATTTCTTCTCCCTCATAAGGCAAACATTTATTTCGCGATTGTCTGATGATGTTATAATTAAGACAGAGTCGATCACTTAGTCATCCATGTTACTGTTTGGAAGCTCGATCCAGACACGCTGAAAGAACCTTCAACTTGGCCAGATCTTCCGGCACACTGTTGGATTATTGTTGAATAAAACACTTGAGTCAAATAGAATCCAATGCAAAAAAGATTTACTGTAATTTCAAAGCCGAGTACAAATTGAATCGAGTTAGTTCCGGCAAAAAAACTCCAAACACTTTGTATTTACTTTAAAAAATATGCTCCTCCTCATAGGTTGTTTGGGATGCTCCCATTGGTCCATAACCAAAACCCAGTTGTATGTCATTACGCTTTACCCACTTGATGGTGGCATTACACAAGGAAACTTCTGCCTTCACTGGGATGGACAATTTTCTTAATGTCTGCTGTGATTGGTTGATTGACGAGCGCACTGACTTTTGTCTTCAGATGAAGACTGGACAGTGAGCCGCAGGCCAGATGTTCCACATCAGTCTTTGAAACCAGGCAGATGTTATTCATTTAGCTGATGCTTTTATCCAAAGCGAATGCCGTTTATGTCCGAGGCCGCTGGGGCAGCTGTATGTAACATAGAACAGACATAAATTCATCTTCACATGTTCCTCCTTCTTTTACTTTAGGGGCTGAAGATGATCGCAGAGCGGCGCCTCTCACTCGATGAGAACGACGCCCAGTCTTACGGCCTGTTGGGTCTGGTGGCCAAAGCTGAAGGCGACAAGAAGAAAGCTGAGGAGTTCTATGAGAAAGCTCTGGACTGTGACGAAAACAACGACGAGTACCTGTCTGCTCTCTGTGAGCTGCGCATGCAGCTGCAGTGATGAAGCACAGAGATCAGGACTCCAGCTTTTATTCTGCGTCTGTAGTTGATCAGGATGCTGATTCAGAGACTTCTGTCCTCATCAGAGAAACAACAGCTTCTGCTGTTTGTTAGTCCCGTTTGACATGTTTACATTTTCCTGAGCCCTCTTGAGTTTAGAGAGTCAACTGTCAGGAGCAAAGTCCGCTCACACTTTATTATCTATGTTCTTTCTTGTATCTGTTCTTGATGTATAAACTGTAGCACTGAACTAATCAGAATCAGAAGACTTTATTGACCTACGAGGGGAAATTCTTATGACAATTGCTCACTTTGCATATCAAGGTAATTATAAATCTAAATATAAAGGAGTTTGGATATGTACAGTATTAACAGAAGTGTAATAATGAATAGTAGTATTGAATTAATTAATAATAGTAAAAATGAATACTGTTGAGTTGAGTTGATGTGGAATGTAGTGGTGTAGTACTGGAGACCGGTCTTAAGAACACTTTTTGATGGTCTTGTCTCGGTCTCGGACATTGAGGATTCTGGATTTTATTAAGACCAGTCAAGACCATATCTTTGGGAATATCAATAAATTGCTTTTGCATTGTCTGATTTATTTGTTAACATCCTAACTTTGATTGGATGGAAAACGTGTTGCTTCAAATGCAACAAATAACCCTAATTAAAAATGTGTTGTTACTGTTAACGATTGTCCCTGAGATAGTAGTGAGCATGGAAAAGTTGAATAAAGATGCTTATGTTGATTTCAGCTCTTAGTGTTTGTATGTAGGTTTTTAAATGGGAATGTGGATCAGGTCATGGAGAAGTACCCATGATCTCGTTCCACATTTTATTGTGTGTCATGTAATGCGGGGAACTGGTCTTGGTCTTGACTCGGTCTACTGCATAACTGCCACAAATAAGACCCAAAACAGACACAAACAACACTTTACATTTACTACAGACTTACAGAGAGTGAACAGAAAGAGGAGGACGACGATAATGTTAACCACAGTTTATATTTGGTTGTGACAATGTGGAAAAAAGAAGTTAGGGAACGTGTTCACAGTCATTAAGAAAATGAAATCATTTGCAGTTGCAGAACCTCTAACGTTGTTTAAAGCTTCTTACTTTCTGTTTATCTTTTGACCTTTTATTCTTCTTCTCTGTTATTGGCCGCTGCTCAGCAACGTGGAGCCACAGAAAACAACCGTTGTCAAGGAAACACCTTGAAGCTGGTGCTGCACACTATTGTTTCCCCCCGACAACAACTGACTACAACACAGTTCTGCTGCGACACAAGACTTAACTTTTAGTAACTTTTTCAGACTAAAAACTGACAAACGACCATTATTATAATAATATAATTACATATAATCATTACTTTGAATGTATAATGGCTCCTACGCTACATGGTAGCTTTGGTAAAGTTCTCTGGATACTTTGGATGATGTAAAAATATTTTGTTATCCAGCAACAACACTTTCACTTCCTGAAAAGTTTCCACCTGACAGCATGTCCATCTGAGACTCTCTGTCATTGTTTACTCATAAACATAAAAATCTTTTATTTCTCCTTTATTTTATAAGTTGTCCTGGCCAAACACTATTCTTTACATGATTTGAAAGGAGACAGTGAAGGCATCATCAAACTCTTTTTCAGTTTCATTTCTCTGAGTTTCTGATCAGTCTCTGAAGTGACAGCAGCCAGACCAATAACACACTAACCTCTCTTTATCTTCATAATCTCCTTCATCTGGACGTTCTTCCTCTCAGAGAGGGGTTTGTGATTTCACCATGAGGTAAGTTTGATTCAGTTTAACAGCTGAATTCAAGAAAATGTTGTTTTCCTACTGTCAGGATTCAGTGAGTGACTAACAGGTTTGAGCCCAAATAATAATAATAATAATAATAATAATAATTACAGCAGTAATCACTGTTTAAACTAATCTGTACAAAACTGATCAATGATCTTTCATATTGTAGTTGCACTGAAGGAACATTCCTGTAGTTATCAGCTGGATATGATATTCTGGATAATATTTCTGAGAGAGGATGACTGTGGTGCAGCCGGAACAAATAAATGTAGTTTAAAAGTGAGTTTTTCATTTTCATTGTGATTGTGTTTTGACATCATTTCATAAAATATGAAATGAGCAAGATGTTATTAACATAAAATAGATGTTTAAAACTTTACCGTCAGTTTGAACCTATGTATAAAGCCATAATTAATATGCTAACCTGCTGGGTCGGATTGTGACTTTACAATCACAGGTTCATGAGTAAACTGTGCCTTATATTTGATCCATATTTTCATCTTCAGGTCTTGATCCAGCATTTTGTCCCGTCAGGTTACAGCTGAATAAATATCGCCTATTTAAAAATGTAACGTAGCCTTTTAGGCCAATAGGAGAATTCCAGCACTTTATAAGTCATTAAGGTCTGGTTAGTGATGAACGAGCGCACTAGCTGAAAATTTTATATTGTAAAGTTATTGATCCTTCCTTTAAGGCGTCATGGATCGTGTTGGCAGCGTTCGTATTTCTAGCTCAACTCGATTAAAATGGAGGCTCTGCTCTTTATTTACCCGTTGCCAAGGTGAATCGTAGTGTCGGAGCTCATTTGATGAGGCTTTTTTTCATCCCCACGCACGCTTCCATCAGGTTAAACACACTCAGAGCTGACTGAACTGATTCTGATCAGCTGCTCTGGAACCGAACACTCGAAGTTTCCCAGCTCAGAGCTCAGAGTTTGTTAAGCCTGCTTTCTGAATCAGGGCCCAGGCTGACAAACAACAGTTCAGGCAGAACGGTCCGCACAAGCAGGTTAACAATTAACCACAGGTGAGAAACACTGGGAATCAGGGCAGACAAAAACACCAGACAGGGACAATACAAAATAAAACAGGAAGCCCGTGATGATACACAAGGATGAAGGCAACAGAATTCAGCAGAGAAGATGGAAGAAATGATCAAACACAGAACCAGAACACAGAGGCAGGGAGTGAAACAGGGACCGTCCAAAAAGAAAACACTAACACTAAAAACCAAAACCACCTACAGTCTTATCAGAATCAGAATCAGGTCTGTGTTCGCATGCAAGGAATCTGACTACACAACAACAAACTTCTGCGTACAGATACACACAAACATAAACAACAACATTTGTACACTGCAAGACAACACTTTGAAGGAACAGAGTACCAAGGATGCAAACTGTGCAGGTATCATTATGTTCATGAGGTAGGAATTGATAAGCAGAAGACTCTCCCTCTCTCCATAGTGACGTCGTCTCTATAGGTACACTCAGGCATCTTTACAGTCTGGAGATAGAGTTTGACTCGCTCATTGCTCGTGTTACAGCTGAAGCAGAACTTAATATCCACAGGGATACCACCTAATGATGTCACCTAGGCTACAAGAATCCTTTTGGTAAAGGTCACTGAGGCCCAGACCTCTGGGAGCTACAGTGCTGGATGGAAGCACTGTAGATCTCAATCCCTGATGTTCAAGAGCCAGAGCCCAGAGTTAATAACGCTCACATGAAGGAAGGTCCAAGGTGTCCAAATCTGTATGTACTTGAATGTGTCTTCACGGACGGACAGTAAGCAGCCTTCCCTCTCGGACTCCCTCTGTGTTTCTAGCAGCTCTCTTCACTCCAGACTGCAGAAGCTGCAGAGTCGCTTCACCTGGGATCTGAAGGAGGAGGACATGGACCTGGAAAACCTCAGCATTCGACTACAGGAACAGATAGACCTTCAGCTGGGACAGCAGAGTGCAGTGGCTTTGTCCTACAGCTTCTTGGCTTATGTCAGGTACAGTAAGGCGTCTCACAGTGAAATACATTCCATATGGGTCGGCTGTGGCTCAGGAGGTAGATCTTGTTACCACTAATCAGAAGATTGGAGATTCAATCCCGACTTCTCATATCCCCATGTCAAAGTCTCCTTGGGCGAGATACTGATTATTGCCCCTGATGTCTGTTCCATCGGTGTATGATTGCGAGTTTTGGTTTGAGCACTTAGGCTCAGTGTATGAATGAGGGAATGTGATGTAGTGTAAAAGTGCTTTGAGTGGTTGGAAGACTGGAAAGGCTGTACAGAGCATTTACATTAGTTGGCACAGTATATCATGTAGAGCGAGAGTTGGAAGAGATTAATGTGTGTTTGAAACATCAGAAGCACAATCTGCCGTAGCTGACCTATAGCCAGCGATAAGGTTGTTGCCTGTAAGACATAATAGTAATGGTTTGTGTGACAACAGGAGCGCTGAAACTTTGCCTAAAAATCAGACCCATTGCTCCTACAGAAAGTATTAACATTACAGGAGGAGGTGGGGGTACTGCAGGAGGTGAATCTGAGTCAGAAACCTCTCTCCTCCTTCTCAGAGTCAGAACTCAGTCAGATCTTAACTCTCAGACATGATACACATGTTGAATCATTCAGTGTGACTTCCTCTTCCTGAGGACATCATCATCTCTGATGTCCAACCTGAATAAACGTCCAGAAATCAGCTCAGAAATAATCTTCCCTTTCCTGAAACACTGTGCCCTCAGTGACTAACAGAGCTGCTTTCAGTCTGAAAATCTGCAGCTTGATCAAAGTTTAAAAACAGTAAAATATACAAACCAAGTTTCTTCAACATTTCACAACAGCCTGTCTCTCCTCAGGTATCTTCAGGGTCGACAACAGGAGGCGATGTCACTTCTCAACCAATCAGAGGAGAAGACCAGGGAGTGTTACGGTGAGGAGAGTGAGCGGCGGCTCATCGTGACGTACGGAGACCAGGCCTGGCTGAAATACCACACAGGAGACTACAAACAGTCACATAGTTACTGCCAGAGGGTGGACGACATCCTGGTATGGATACTCACTGCTTTAGGACAGACTGAAAATGGTTTAATGCTCTGTGAGGAACTTTTATCAGCAAACTCACACATGATCAGAGTCACTAATCAAGTTACACATTTTCCTCAACCAAGTTCTTTCTCCGCCCACCGCTCCTCCTCTTTCCAGGTGAAGTATCCTGCTGGTTCTACCACAGTTCTCCACCCAGAGGTATATGGAGAAAAAGCTTGGACCTACTTTACGTTTGCTAAATCTTACTACCCCAAAGCTATTGACTGTTTCTGTAAAGCGTTAGAGCTGCAGCCTGATGACAGCGAGTGGAACGCTGGCTACGCTATTGCCCTCTACCGCACAGAACCGGTATGTTTCCTTATAAACAAGTAAACTAAATTAAAGCCATATTGCTCTTGTCTGCACCAAACTGGTACATTGCATTAAGAGACCAATCAGTGATTTGATTATTCAATCCGATAATTAAATGTCAGCATGTTGCCAAGAAGTGTTACTGACTAATGTTCTCTTTGAATTGGAAGCTGATGGCAGATTTGTAGCCCAGGGATTTAAAACAGATTCTCATTTGCAGAGTGATTTAGAAACATCCCAGGAAGATGAGGAGTCACCGGCCATCAAACAGCTTCGGCGAGCCCTGGAGATCAACCCTGATGATGGTGTTCTGCTGTCGATGCTGGCTCTGAAGCTGACCGCCCACAAGAAGCACCAAGAGGCTGAAGCCCTGGTAGAGAGAGCACTGGAGAAGGATCCTGACAACCCTCATGCAATGCGCTACATAGCCAGATATCTTCGTGATCAGGTAGGTCTGAATTACTCGCTGAAGAATAAGAATCCCTTCAGGGTCCAGAACCATCCTGATCAGATGCTGACCCACTTCATTTGGACCTTTTTGAATTGAAACCTTGTACCGTG